GGGGGGGGGGGGGGGGGGGGGGGGGGGGGGGGGTATACTAGTCTTTCAATCCAGATATATAGGGGTATACAAGTCTCTCAGTACCAGTCTTCACAGGCAGGAGGTGGGGGTAGTTACAGTTCATACATTACTTGATGTTTTATATGATGCACAGTCTCTACCAAAATTAAATAAAAATCCAGCTTATTGGAGCGTGAATATCTTCAGATGCTGAACTGTTAAGTTTATTACAAAGTCGGACGGTTAACTACAGCGTGGTATGTTATATAGTTTGATGAACATTTTACAAAGCATGTGCGACTATCCTTCTGCGCATGTGTCGTCTTGGAAAAAATTCGCACGATGCATTAGTTTGATCTTTTCCTTCCCACCGAAAATATCGATGTCACATGACGGTTTTTGGTATCTTGCTTCTATCCGCTTTATTGATATTACTTTCACGTGGGTTATAATTTGGCGTCCTCATTCTCTCCGAGAATGTCAATGCGGATATCCGGGCTCTGTGTGTTGTGAGATGAAATACACTGCCGGAAGAATGTAGCAGACACTCCATAGAGAGCGCCCCATTTCCGTATGATATGTCGTGGCGAGTCGCCATTAACAGTGATATGATCTACGTCGGCGTTTCCATCCGCCACCCACATCGACAAAAACGTTATCAAGGGGAGCTTGGTCTGTTTATCCATACTGACGAATACGTCCTGGACAAACAACCGAGTTTCTAGATAGGACGGCTGCAGGGAAAGCGTCAGAGAGGAGTTATCTCGGTAAAGTACGCTTAACGATACCGTCCGAGTGTCGATGCCAATAGATATGATGTCAGTATACGGACGGGGAAACCGCGGGTCTGCAGCTCCAAGTACAACGGAAGACCCAAAAGGAATCCAGTCCAAACCATGAGGTGCCGGAGGGGCAAGCTTTACTAGTCCGTCCTGACATATCTCAAATATCTGAGAGTGGAGATCGGCCTCCCATTGTTGTCTATAGTTAATCCGGACACAGTCTATATCGAAGTACGAATTCCCATTCTGGAGTACCGAGACTGTCATGTTTTTGTCCCTTTGCCACCAAAAATCAAGATCAATCCCTTCCACAATAAACTCTTCGTTATCGAATATTACACGTTTCGAGTTGTTCAGTTTTCTCTCTTCCAGTCCAATCTCCTCTATGACTATAGGTAAGGATGCCTCTGTTAAAGTTCTCACAAAGGTCAGTTTTACAAGGTTTCCAGTTTGTTCTGACCAAGACCAGTCCGGGATAGACCAATTCCTGCTTAATATTTCAGGGTCGAACGATTGCCATGACAACTCTGTCCATGTCCGTTTCTGCCCTATATATGCCACAAACACCTGGACAACTGATGATATTTTCCGTAACTTCACATAAAGTGTTGAACCCACATTTAGATTGCTGAAGTCTCTCGTTTTCAGCCGTTCTATTGCCGCAAACGTCACGATGACCTCTGTGTTATCATTTTTTCCTGCAAATCTAATAAGGGCACGTGCTGATTCCACGGGAGTTCTAGACGGTTCTACACTAACATTGTTAAATTTCCATATTGGATTTGTTATCTTACACCCTTCATAGGTCGGTTTTCTGTAATTTCCAAATGACCTATACTTGGGTCCAGAGGCAGTGATCACAAACTTTCTAGCAGTATCGTGGTAAATTGCGACCTTGACATTATCGTCTTCGCCACAGGTCGCGCTCGTGCTGTACTGGACGAACTTGGCGCTGGGAACGTCGTCTCGTCGACCACCGACATCGCTATAGTTAATGTCTTCAAAACAAAACAATGCACATCTAAAGGCTTTCTCAGTCAGATCCCCGTCTTCAACGTTGAAAAGGATCACGTCCAATTCAGTGCCCCATCGATCTGATTTACTTACATTCAGCGTAACGGTGTGGCGTCCGGGTGGTAATATCATTGGTTTACCGATATTCCAGCTGGACCGGAAGTCATTCCAGTCGGATTTCCCCCCAATTAACATTTTTGCTTGAACAGTTCCAATGTGTTTCCGGTTAATGTGTATATCTATCAAATCTGTTGGACCATCGTTAGAATACATCATGTTGACTATCTCAACTTTTCTGTAGCCTGGTAGACAGAACTCGCCGATCACCACGTCATTTTGGAACAAATGCACAGAGAACTGGTGTGAAGCACGTGACCGCATCATCACGTCATCCCGATATATCCAAGGTTCAAACTTCTTAAGTTTAAAATCTTCCACCTCTAACTTCACAATTTTAGCCCAAACGACGGGTAATATGAAAAGTGGAAAGAGAAATCCGTGCATTGCGAAGGCAGAAGATTGGGAAGTCATTCAAGCGTCAACCATAACAATCCAAACGCATCACCGCATCATCACCCAACTGAAACATAAGCAAAACGATTCATAAACAAAACTTGTAGGATTTATACAGCATATACTGTTACAGTGAACCAGTTTCTGGAGGAAAGTGCATCAAGAACCATTTTAACAAGCATATATTGGCATGTTTGATACTACGAAGTACATTTGTATGTTATCTGAAAGTGCTGATATGCTAAAGAAAGATCGAACGTCGTTGGTGTCATATTCATCAGGGACGGTGAAACGCAAATGTATTAAATGTAACCAAGATATCATTATATTTAACATTTGATCCAGTAATGATAACTGATCAGTAACTTTGACACGATAATATCACTATATATGTACCCTATAGCTGTACGTATAAGACAGAAAACGATAGAATGGAGAAGACATCTGAAAGCTGTGAATACTCTTGCGATGCTATCAAAACAAAGGGCACTACTTTGTATAATGTATCATACAAAGCTTACGAACTGCTATAGTGTATAAATATAGTATAATGCGTTATATATAAATAAAAGTGACACTTACGTAAAATCTCGTTTTCAACAGTCAACACTAGCTGTAAAATAAAAACAACGTTATGGCATGTTCAAAACCGGTTACTAACTTCGAGTCTGAAAACATTGTTTTTTCATTCTGAAAAGGAAATAATGTCAAATCTAAAACAAATCTGTACACATTTATCAAAGGAAAACACGACATGATATTACCAGGTTAACTCAGTATCTGATTCATCACAGGATTATTTAAAGTAGCTGACTCCTGTAGCTGTCACAAAGAGATTCTGTATAACGTGGGAACGCAGCACGCGTCACTACCTGGAGAGCTGACAGACATGGTATATTAGGTAGTACACATATCTGACATCAACCCTACATTTTAAAGATAAATGACATTATTGGTTTTCAAAACAAATATATCGATGCATACACTGGAGTTGCCCACAAGGATTGGACACTTGCAAACTTGTTGTAAACATGCATTGATTTGATACAGGGCCACATCGTAAACTAGACACCACCTGAAGGTGTAACACTGGATTCGATAATGTTAATTAAAAAAACCTTAGAAAATGAAGTCATATCTATGAAAACATCAACTAAGCTCGCTTGTGATGGCATCTATTGTAGGCCAAGTTTGACAAGTTTGTGAAGTTAAAAAGTGTGTAGGTAGCGTTGTCAAAGTTTTAATTGTATACAATAACACGATCCAGCTAGCGATCCTTCCACGCTGAATACACTCTTAATTCTATGCATAAATAGATGTTTATACCTTGACACCTCAAATGAGCGACATTCAATCTTGCCGACTTTAACAGATATGGATTATAACAAATTAACCCATATATCTGTATAAATTATACGAAAAATGCAAACATCAAAGTAACACAAGTTTGAATGTTGAGGAGGGTCCGGAATGACATAACAATGAATAAATCAGGAGAGGGGATTATGAGAGGGGTGTATGGACTATGTTTCCAATTAACACCTAGACTATCAAACAAGGCAATAGAAAAATCTTGAATTTGAAGTAAACATGAGAAGACGAAACAACAGAAACCAAGAAACAGCAAAAAATAATGAATAGAAAAAAGAAGAAGAATAAAGTGGTGAAACACAGTGCCCTGGAAGATTTTCCGTATTTTATTCAATACATGTTGGACTAGTCCTGATATCGTACGTAGCACCTGCCACTTATGTCGCTCACAGAAGATCAACAACAGACTAAACATTCTTAAACCCTTCATGTACCGATGTTCTACTTTTTACACAAACAATTTACGTGTGAACGTGTCACAGCGTTTGAAGGCCGACTGGTGTTTTTCTCACGCTTAGATTGAAGGGGCGTTGTCACTGTTCACCTATCGTACGATGTTACGAGACTATTAGCTGGCTAGTCGGCCGTCTAAGCTTACACAGCTTCACTGTTCCCCTGCTGTACGATGTTACGAGATTAGTACCGTTATAGTCAGGAGTGGATGGCTTAGCTGTTGCCCTTCGTTTTCGTGTATGCGTTGTGTTCTCCAGATTTGTTTTGCCTCTTTGCCTGGTTTCGATATGTTTTTCCCAACCAATTTGTATGATTTGT